ACACACACACACACACACACACACACACACACACACACGCTCCACAGCACTACAGCTCCTAATTATTTCGCTCTATTTTTTCCTCCACAGCATTTCACTTATTTATTAGTTTACTGTCACAAGGCACACTGTTTGCATTTGGTTTTGTCTGTTTTGTTCACTGATGACTCCCAAGCACCTGGACAATTTCTGGAATATAGTAGGTGCTCAATGTATATTGATTTTGTTGAGTTCTTGAAAAATAATGAGCATTGTACTGTTCGAAGCTTTTCACATGAGTTACCCAATTAATGCTCAGTGCTGCCCCATAAAGGAAGCTACAAATACCCCCTTTCACAGATGAGGAAACTGAAGCACAGTTAAGTAACTCGCCTCCGGTCTCATGGCTTGCAAATGATAGAGCTGGGTTACGAACTCAATGGTTTGGTGCCTGGGTCTTGCTCTTAACCACTAGTCCTATCACAGAACAAAGGAACAACAGCTAATCTAGGCTGGAAGAGTGGATGGAAATAAAAAAAAAAAAAAAAAAAAAAAAAAAAAAAAAAAAGGATAAAATATGGTACCATTGGGAATGACACAACTGACAAGCAAGAGGTTAAAAAAATCCAAAACTGGCAAGATACACCCAAGAAGAGATATTGCTGTGATCCGAGTAAGTGCCCTAAGTCCGTGGCTGAATGATGACAAGAGATCACAGTGGCTTATAGTGGACTTTCATACAGCAGTAGTCTTAGAGTGTTGATTTTGCCCTAAAAGGGGTAGTACTAGGACCAAGAAATGGAAACTATACGTTGCCAGATTTGGAAAAATCTAAGGAACTTTAAGCAGCCCTGTCCAAATATGAAATTTTGTATCACAAAAAGGATCTTGTTCCTTCTTCCCGAAAATATTCCATCAGAAATCTGATAATAACACGAAGCAATTTGTAATGAGGACTCACCGCGGCTGGACAGTTGGACAGGATTACTTTTTAAAGACCTTTTCCTGCACTCAGACATTTGTGAGATAGATAGATAGATAGATAGAGATAGAGATTTTTTTAGTTTCTTTTTTAATGTTTATTTTTGAAACAGAGAGACAGAGCACCAGCGGGGGAGGGGCAGAGAGAGAGGGAAACACAGAATAGGAAGCAGGCTCCCGGCTCTGAGCTGTCAGCACAGAGCTTGATGTAGGGCTAGAACTCAGGGACTGCAAGATCATGACCGGGAGCCGAAATCAGACGCTCAACCGACTAAGCCACCCAGGGCCCCTTTTTGTGATATATTTTAACTTTAAGTAGGCAAAAGGACTTACAAAATAGTAATGCTATGCCCAGCAGTATGGCCAGGATCGCCCATTTTCCGAGTATTACTCCTGCGCTCCTTCGGGTCGGCAGACATTGACTTGGATGAGTACAATCACACAGATTAACTCTCACGGTTTTTGTTGCAGATTGACCTTCTCTATCTTTTACAGTAATAGGAACACTATATTCCTGAAATTCAGCATTTTTCTGATATGAAAGACGGGCAGCTGTATCTGAAAGAAAATGAAAGAATTATATTTTTAATGGACATTTACTTCTAGCATTTGTTTCATCACACTTGTTTCTAAACATGTTATTCTCAAGGAACCACCTGCCACATGAAAATGAATAAAAATGGACAACCACCTTCTATTATTCTATCTTCTATTCTATTCTTAGTGCTACCTTTATCAGCACTAATATTACCATGTATGTGTTGCCCATCGTAACTTTCTAGAAGAGAGGCTTAGAGAAATAACTTGGCATTGGAGTGACCCAGTAGCATTTCTGCAGTATTTAATATTACTTATCTATATCCTTATTTACGAACCAATGATGCTAGATTGGCTCTTGACACACACTTCAACCATTTTTCTATAGTACCAGTTTATGGTACTTATAAAGAATTAACAATTGTTACACACAAAGCATGTCCGAAGTCAACATTCTCTTATCCATTTATTTTCTGGTATCTGTCCATTATCTTTATGTACAAGGTAACTTTTCAAAGTACAATAGACCCTTTGTTATTATGCCTTCCCTCTAGAAGTAATCTCAATACCACAAAGCTAGTTAATGCCACCCAGGCTGGGTATAAGGCTGACATAAAAACAGATGTATCTGTATCATAACAATATGTTCTTATCAACTATGATATTTCCCCAATAGTCTTGATACCTACTGTAATGACTTTATTATCAACTGATCAAAAGCTCCATGCATTTTCAATGCCAATCACAACCTTCTGAGTTTTGCAGTAAGTGAAATGAGGAAGTAGCACCATGCACATCCTGGAAGTCATCTGTAATGTCTAAGCCTTTCTTAAACGCACTGTTGCAGCTGTTAAGAACTTCAAAGATTTCTGCCTGCATCTCAAATGTAGAGCTCCCCAGAGGAGAGTGAATTACTGCTAAGGTTTAGATGGAACCCTCCCATGTCCTATTGTGGCTAAGGTAAAATCCTCCAAATTCCTCTCCTCCCTCAAGACCACAAGCTGTACCATAGTCACCTCTGCTGTCCTTGTCACTCAACTCTGCCCTCTTCAAACTGTCCTGTCACCAATGTCACCTTGTTAAGACAAATCTGGGCACAGCATTCCTTACTGGCACACTCCCAGTGCATTCCTGCTGTCACCGACTGTACAAAAGTCAGTCTCCTCAGCCTACTACATAAGGTGCTTCATCACCAGATTCCATAGCCACTCCCCCGAACCCCTCTCTGGGCATTCCTGCTAAAACCTAAACTCTAACACTGGTTTATTTATCCCCTTAGCATTTTCCTTCTTTATGCATATTTATTAACCAATTATTTATTAAACAAACACTTATTAAGCAGTTAGTATCTACTTAAGCACTGGGCTAGGTGCTGGCGAAACACAAATGAATCACAATTATCCTGAGAAACTCATGTATTGGAGAAGAAAGGTAAGCAGGTGATAACACAACACAAAAGGAGCTATAATAAAGGTACAAAAGGTCATGGTGCTACTGCTTCTACTTCAAGAAAGACTTCGTAGATGTGAGCATCTGAATTGCCGTCATGTCTGTCTCGTAAATCTCTACGTGTATCACCAGGGTCAGAACGGTGCATAGTAGATGGTAGGGGCTCCATAAGAACCTCATGAATTAATACCAAGCTATGAAATGGGAAGGGTAGTATTCTCGGCAGAAGGGACAGCATACACAAAAATCCAATTGTATGGAAGAGAATGGATAGTAAGAAAACAGCAGTGAATGGTGGCTGAAATATAGAACTACACTCCCCCAGAAATCACTATCACAGGATGCTGTCCTGACGGCTCCCATCCAACATCTCTGTCCATAGCTCACCATGCTTTTTTCCAGAACACCATAGAGCGCTTGCCTCCTATACCCACATTCTCATTTCCAGAGTTTGCTTACACTAAAATTTAAACGCCCCATCTCTGTTCTCTCTTCACCTCCCTGGAGTCACTTTAAAACCACACCGGAAACAATTCGTCTTAATGATAAGTTGCCCAATATTTTCAGCAAAGCTTTCTTGTCTTTGTTGTAAATGTAAATTTTGCCTTCATAAAAAATGATAATTTCTTTCATTTTATATACAATATAAAGACCCCATCATAATATTTGTAAGTTGTCGAATTAGGCTTCTAAAATATGTCAATGAGAATATTTTAGCAAACAAGCAAATTCACCCTCAGTTATTTTAGAGCATATAAATCGTTACTGTTCATTAAATACCATTAACTTTGGTGAGGGTCCACATTCTGTTCATTTCTGGAGAAGTGTCTGCCAAGCTGAAATAAAATGGAGGGCCATGGATAGGTTCATCGGGATCGACAGCTGAAATGTCAGTATACCTCATCCTTGGTTTGCAAATTGTTACATAACTTTGAAGTATTTCTGGTGGGTTATCATTCATATCTTCAATGTTAACCACAAGTGTTCCAGTACACGATCTACCATCTAGGAAGAAAGGTAAAAGATTTAGTGTAGTTTTATGCGTTAACATTTTCTTAATAAAATAAATTAACTACCTTCTATATATGATATATGTTTCCTCAAATAAGCTGATATTAGAAAAAATGGTAAATAAGAATGTAGAAGAATAAATGAAACCTGTGGATCATCTAAAATGAGTACTGCCATTGATAATATCAGTTACAACTGCCAATAAACTTTTTGCCAGGATCTCTACCAAACAAGAAAAATCAATGTGTGAACTCTGTATTCGCAGGGGTCCCCTCTGGTACAGATGTTAATGAGCACTAGAAAGGCTACAAAAAGTTATTCTAATCTTGGTACACATTTAATCCACTTAGCAAGATTTTGAAAACATATGATGCTTGGGTTCCCCAAATATTCTGATTCATTTCATCTAAGTCAATGCTACAAAATGATTTTTTTAATTTTTTAAATGTTTATTTATTTTTGAGAGAGAGACAGAACGTGAGCATGGGAGGGACAGAGAGAGTGGGAGACACAGAATCCGAAGCAGGTTTCAGGCTCTGAGCTGTCAGCACAGAGCCCCATGCAGGGCTTGAACTCACGGTGAGATCGTGACCTGAGCCGACGTGGGATACTTAACTGACTGAGGCACCCAGGTGCCCCTACAAAATGATTTTTTAAGTGCCCCAAGTTATTATAATATGAAGCCAGGGTTAAGAAACTCTGAGTTGTTTTAAGCAACAGAATTCAAGCAAAGGGTCACTGTGACCTAATAATCAGCTAGGTTACTCAAAGATTCGATTTAAAATGGCATGAAAAGATCTAGAAGATTCTGGTGAGATCGTCTCATCCGATCCAAGACTTAAGTTTCCTCTTTGCCCTCCAACAAAGAGATCTATAAGCATGTGAGGTCCCACCATGCTGGGGATATAAAGATAAATAAATGGCTTGTTGTTGCTATGAAGGTTCACCTCGTTAAATGATTAAGGGAAATAGGAACCGTCTTCAAAGTAATTTCTGACAATTCAAAAATACCTATCACAACAATTCTGCACAATAATAATTGCAGCTTATTGTCCAATTCCTCCTAAGATACCATATTAAATAAAATTAACATTTTTTTTTTACCTTGGTCTATTGCCAGGACTGTTATATTATATAAGTCATTTCTGGGAGTCATGGCCTCCCGGTCCAGGATTTTGGAAGTTGTGATTGACCCTGAAATCTCATCAATGGTGATCCATCCTTTAGGATCATGCAATTTTTTGTACCTATTAATATAAAATAAAAAGTCTTCAGCAATATAAAACATATTAAAATAAATTACTGTATCAATTATTACAAATACATTATTAGTATGTGGTTACAGACTTCTTCATACCTTATGCCGCTGGCACTTCTAGTTTCAGGGTCATATGCCTTATAACCATTGACCTTTGACCCCACTGCTGAGTGTTCTTGAATCCGTACATACTGGGCTGCAGGGCTACATTCGGGTCCTTCATCCTGATCCCTCACGTGAACTGTGACCAAGGCTCTGTTCATGGTTGTTCTGAGTGCAAAATCTCGAGTAAATGGAGCTTCATTGCTTACTCCAATTTCCAGGGTCACTTGGTGGTTTTCTTCATAATTCAGCGGCTTTTTAAAAAAGCACATGCATATCAGCATCAGTGTAAAATACCTTCGGAATTTCAAACAACAAGTGAGCATCTGCAAATACGAACAGTGGTGCATAAATTCTATGCTCCCATTCAATCAATATGGACTTTTACCATTTGCTAAAGAGAGAGGTGATTCTTCACTAATCCTTTAGCAAGAGTGGTCCAAAAGTTTCTACAGATGGTTTTATGGAGTTGTGGAAAAACAATTCCAGTTATACTCTCATAGTTCATTCTTACTAAGGAAGATTATTCTGAACCTGGAGACAATGCAGAGAGATGACAGTGTTTTTATGACCCTGCTTTAGAGCGCTAACAGACCAGCCGAAGGGGCATCTAACTCCAGGGGAACGCAATTTTGTTTGACTCACTATTTCCTATTGACTATGTCCATTTCCTTAACCACCACACTATAATCCTTCTGCTACACTATGCTGCTTAATTGGTTCACCAGCCTCTAAAAATATTTAAGTGAATCCTTTGATTATAATTGATTTTTAGACAGCAAATCAAGCAAACCCATAATAACATTATTTTACATTGTACTGCAAATTTGAAGTATTTTTTTTTATTTGATTCTCTTTCTGCTTATCAAAACCATCACTGGCAGACCATTGAACAAAATAAAAAATGAGGAGTAACATTTTTATTTTAAACCTTTCCCCATACCTAGCTATTATCAAGCTAAGATACTAATATCATAAGTCTGCTAAGAAGTCAAGAAAATTTCTGAATCTTAGAATCCACAAAATATGGGTGAAACTTTTTAAAAATGTTTTATGAACATTCTAGAAAACAGAGAGGCAAGAAGGGAAAAAGAATTAATACGTTTATCTATTGCTAATGAACACTCTCACAAATTACATGTGTTGATATATGATCATGCAGAGAATGAAAGCATTCATTGGAGATGAGGCATGGATAGAAAGTCAGGAAACAGCTGCTGCTCTGGGGGAGGTGCAGTGATTTGATCAGGGCCACTTACTAATGCCTTAGAATTTCTTTATGTAATTTTTCAAGGTTTGCACTGCATATTGGTTTAGAGGCTTAAAACTCTGCAAGATTGGAAATCTAGTAGGATGAAATCAGCGATCAATGAAAAACCAGGAATTCTCTTCCACCACACGGTAGCTTTAATGTTTCATCAATTTATTTTATATTTTTAATATTTATTTCTTTCGGGGAGAGTGCAAGTGGAGGAAGGGCCGAGAGAAGAGGACAGAGGATCCAAAGTGGGCTGTGCACTGACAGGCTAGCAGCTGTGAGCCCAACGTGGGGCTCGAACTCACAAACCGTGAGATCATGACCTGCAGTAAATAAAGTTGGACACTCAACCGACTGAGCCACCCAGGCACCTGTTTCATCAACTAAAAAAATGTTCAAAAATATCTTATCTCTGCACTGAGATGCTAGTATCTCACTAGAAAATGAAGTGCTGTTTTATGGCGGACTCTCTATGTTGAGAATGACCAAGTAGAGTATCTTCTTCATCAAGCCCATGTGCAACTGCCGCTGCTCAAATAGAAAGGAAATGCTGAGATGGAAATATTACCCGGGACTGAGCTGAAGACTGCATCAGCTCAGGGTCTACAGTTCCAGAGAAGTTCTCCGACATGGACAATTATAACACAAGACCCAAGAACATGTAAGGCTTCTAAAAATAGAATAATAATATCCTACAGTTCACCAAGTGTTTTCACTTTCATTATTATAATTGAATAGCTACTAGGGAGGCAGAGAGAAGTATTATTTATATTCTATAGATAATACAGAGGCTAATTTCCAAGATCACATAGCTATGCAAAGCAATTGAACATGGTGCTTAAGAGCATGTACTTGGAATCAAAGAGACCTTCACTCAAATCCTGTCCTCCTGCATCCTAGCTGTGTCACTTTGGGTAAGTTTCTTAATCTCTCTGACACTAAGTTTCGTCCTCTGCACAACTGTTGTAAGAATAACATTTACTTAACATTGTAAGCCCACAGCGAGTGCTTTACACTATAGGTTTTAGTAATCTCTCCGGCTGTCACGCAGCCAGTCGAAAGAAAAAGGTGATGTATTTTTTGTTAACATCCAATATGATGCATAATAGGAGACACAAACTAACAAGACAATGTTTGGAAGCTTTGTTCAGATAAAGAAGTATATTTGAGCAATCTTTGGCTTGAATTACTGATTATTTAATTCTTTTTTGGTATAGAGGAATGAATAAAGTTCATTCCTATCCATTATTAAGTACATAGCCTATGTGAAAGAAAGATGGATTTCAAAATGCCTTGGTTATACAGTGTTTGATTTTAAAATAGAAGATACCTCATCAATGTTACAAAGTACTTACATATATAACTTAAGTACACGAACACAAATCTCTAGCAAGGTAAAAGATAAGGTACGTTTACATTTTTTAAATATTTGTTTACTTATTTTGAGACAGAGAGAAAGCAAGTGGTGGAGGGGCAGAGAGAGAGGGAGAGAAAGAATCCCAAGCAGACTCCACGCTATCAATGCAGAGCCTGACGCAGGGCTCAATCTCACAGACCAAAAAATCATGACCTGAGCTGATATCAAGAGTCAGACACTTAACCGACTGAGCCACACAGGCTCCCCAAGGATACAATAACTTTAAAGACCAGTGCGGTTACCAAAGGATCTCTGTAATGAATTCAGATTTTCTAAGGGGTTACGTAAAATATAGAAAGGAAGATATACCAGAGAGAATGCAAATTTTATTGCCCAAAATGTTAGAGAATATTATGAATGGCTTAAAGAAAGAAGGAAGGTAAAAATACCAAAGGAGCTAATAATAACAGAGGAAAGAGATAATTTAAAGAGTAAACTCAGATGGGGCGCCTGGGTGGCTCAGTCGGTTGAGCGTCCAGCTTCGGCTCGGGTCATGATCTCACAGTTTGTGGGTTCAAGCCCCACATCAGACTCTGTACTGATGGCTCAGAGCCTGGAGCCTGCTTCAGATTCTGTGTCTCCCTCTCTCTCTGCTCCTACCCTGCTCATGCTCTGTCTCTCTCTCTCTCTCCTTCAAAAATAAATAAAAAACATTTAAAAAAAAAAAAGAGTAAACTCATAGAAGTAGAAATTTATTGAAGATACAAAAAGAGAAGACCTCCTTGTGCAACTGAAGTCATGATTTTATCAAGCCATGTAACCCAAGTATGGGAAAGAGGAGAGCTAAAGGGAACATGACCCAAGGGTAGCACGCAGGAAGAATAGCACAGTAGCTCTGATGAAGGGTTCTGCATCAGGAATGTCTCAGTTTGCATCCTGGATCTGTCACCTTGTATCTCTATGAATGGGGGCAAGTGACTTTACTTCTTTTGACTCAGCCTCTTCATCTGAAAATGGGAAGAATGATAGGAATAACCACTGGGTTGTTATGAAAGTTAAAAATAAATCTTTGGAGTCCTGTATATTTTTGGAGGTTTTTTTTTTTCCTTTACAATTTCAAAACATGGGAAAAGCAGCAAAATAAATTAATTTTATAAAGCATACCTAATATTGATTTAAACAGAAACTGTGCAAATTAAGAAAACTATATTTTTTATTGTAAAATGGGGATAATAATAGTATCGTATCCTAAAGGGGATATGACAACTAGTTAAAACCTACGTAAGGTGTTTAGTATCATTCCCTTGACATGAAAGGTGATCAGTACTTGGTAACTACTTTTAAAATTCTAAAAGAATTTCCTAGATATAAGAACTAGGATAGGGCGACTGGGTGGCTCAGTTGGTTAAGTGTCCGACTTCAGCCCAGGTCATGATCTCACAGTCTGTGAGTTCGAGCCCCGCATCGGGCTCTGGGCTCACAGCTCAGAGCCTGGGGCCTGCTTCAGATTCTGTGTCTTCCTCTCTTTCTGCCCCTCCCCTGTTCATGCTTTGTCTCTCTCTCTCTCTCAAAAATAAATAAAAACATTTAAAAAATGTAAAAAAATAACTAGGATATAATTATCAGTGCAACTATCTTATGTTTAAAGATAACGGGATTAAATGCATATAAATTTTCTTGCAGAGGGAGGGGTGTGTGGATTTTCTATATTCTTCATATGTCCAATTAACTTAAACTGAACCAGTGAAAAAAAGTAAAGTATCACCATGTAATTGCTCTCTCTCCTAAAGAATCCTGGGATGGTACCCAGAAGCTGTTCACCAGAAATAAAATATTTCACCAGATGTTTATTAGTCACATGGAGTAAGAGATATTCTAGAATACAGTCTATTATTCCTGAAAATATGTGCAAACATCTTTCTTAACGTCTCTGTGATAAACATTCCTTGAGGAGAAAAAATCCACTCTGAATATGAAAAAAATCAAATGTGCCAACATACTATGATTTTTTTTAAAGCTTCCTAAAATTCATTTTGTATTGGTCAAAAAACTCATAATAAAAATTTAATTCCTAGCATTACTTGATTTGGCCTCCCGAACCAAGATAAAATTATTGTGATTTAAAAAATAATAATAACAGGTCTTTAATAATGGCCTTGAATAGAGAGAACTGAGAAGTAGCCTTCTAACCAAGCAGTAGATACAAAACACTCTAAAAGGTCTGAGCATGGGTCTTTGACCTGAGCTACCGCAGCTGGCATAATCTACCCATCTTGGATCTCAAACTATTCCTTTGACTTATTTCTAGAAAGAAGGAAAGGTGGGGTTGAGGGGTATGCAGAGGAAGGTGTACGGGAGAAAACTTTAACAAAACATCTGTTGCCAATCACATCAATTTTGAGGCAAATGCTTGTCCAGCTTTGGAAACTGATGCATAGCAGCCTTTTTCAAAAGAATTACACACCACAGACCCTCAGCCTACCTGACTTAAGCTGCAGCTCTGGTGAACACCTCTACCATTTATACTGATAGACTCACACCTCAAGTGCACAAAGATTCAGCTCTTCAGATTCAAAGTTTGGTCCAAAGCTAAGGAGCTCTCTCTCAGGCAGGCACAGCCACGCCCAGAAGTGCAGGAGAGCTGAGGTTCCCTGGAAGCAACCTTCAACCAGTGAGGCATGGGTATCAACAATGGGAGTTGATGGACAAATGCCCTGGGTACCACTTTTTAAGGAGATAATTCTGAAGTACATTCTACATGGTTCATTGCATGATTGAACACCAGAGGTGACTAAGTCAGTAATGCAGACTTGATTGGCTTTTTGTTCTTTTCTGTCTTAATTTTCCATTTTTACTCTGGCTTTCTAGGATCCACTTCCTAAATAGTTTCCTTCACTGAGGTCCTTGCCTCATGTTCTGCTTTCTGGAGAGTCCAAAGGAAGACTGACTGAGGTGGGCCAATACAAAGAAAATATGACCAGTACCACCTGCTTATTTCCTTTCCTACTACTATCAATTATAAAACTTCATTTTTCTTAAGTGGCTGCTTTTAGTATTCAATTTGAGTGGATCATATTATAGAAAACTGAAATAGAGGGAGGTTTGATGTTGAGAGTCACCTGGAACAAATATATTTGACTATTCACATCTGGATAGAACTTGCCAAAGTTGATTACATAATCTGTGGAAATTTTTAGTGAGGAAATAACTACAAATAGATACTGTTGTATCAAAGTCTACACCATATTGTTGTTGGCAGGAAAGTTAGCTTTATTCAATGGATGACTCCTTTACCTGCCCATAGGACAATTTTCTTTCTTGTTCGGGGCAACAAATATAAAACCAAGGGTCCTTCCCAAATAGGGCCTTCTCTGCCCTCATAACCTGCACCCTAGAATGAAACAGGGCAACCAAAAACACAATATATAGAATAAAGATATATGCTGTCTGATATAACACTGTATTTCACCCTCAAAATCACCTATAAAGGATCAGATACAACCAGGCATATATTCCAGAAAGAGAGTAAGTGAGAAGACTATGGGCTTCTGAATTATATCATGTAAGGAATAGTTAAAGGAATTAGGAATATTTATCCTAGAGAAAGTAAGTTTCAAATGGACATAGCAACCTTTTCAAAAGAATTATACTTCTGTATAGGATTAGAGCCAGACCATTAAAGACAGAACCCAGACATGGGCTAGAAGGACAATAATTCGAGCACAGTAGAAGTAAGGACTTCTGAGAATCAGAGCTCTCCAAAAACAGAATAAGCTGCCAGTGGAGATCCTCAGAACTGAGAATGTTCAAGCATAAGCTAGGTGACTAATGACTGGCAATAAAATTATGGAAGAAAGACAGCATTCAATGGGAACAGTTGGACTAAACAGACGAAGCTCTATTCCATCTTGTGGATTCTTTGATCTGAAACTGTTTGGTTGATTAAACCAATAGTTGAAGAGAACTTGTTAACTTGCCAAGTTGTCAAGTATCCATTATTACTGTACCTTTACAACGTACAAAACACCTTCATTAGTCTCTTTGTCTGTGCTGATTTTGAAATGTCCATTCTCATTCCCCTTCAAAATGGTAAAATTGGCTCTCCAGTTGGCAGTGTTAATTAAATCCTTATCTTCTATAGGTATGCGTAAGATCTCCACATTGTATGCATTTTCCTCTACTGATGCTTCATACTGAAACAGAAAGAACTCATTAAAAACGTACTTTACAAAGAGAAGTTTTACAAAGAAAGTAAAGTATTTCCTACACTCCAAAAGTATTGGTTCTTATAGTTTTTAGCTAGTGTATTTTAAAGCCATGAATCTCTCAAAGGATTATCTTTGAAATGAAAGAAATTCGTTATAAATGAAGACAAATGTTACAAGAGGATAAAATACTACTATGAGTAAATCAAGGAGATTTATATGTCAGTTGTTCAAACTTCAATTTTATTCATAAAATAAACATACATACTTCAAAGCATGACACATGTTATTAATTTATATTAAATAACAAATAACAACTGACAAGTAGACATAGATTTTGATATTATATACTTACAGTATTTTGTTTGAAAGTGGGTGCATTGTCATTTGAATCTTTAACTGTTATGATGCAAGTTGATGTACTCATCAATCCAAATAATTGACCATCCATGTCTTGTACTTTCATTATCAGTGAGTACTTATCTACAGTCTGGAAACAAAGCAAATACTTAATTAGTTTTGAAAACATTTGCTCCAACTTATAAATGAAACTTCAGTTGTGTAGTCTTCCATTTGTGTGAATCCACGCTTTTATTTGATTCCATATTTGCAGACACTTTAAGAATTGGGTAGACAGGGATAAGCTGGAAAGGTAGACAGAGGTTAAATTACAAAGAGCCATACGAAGAATTTAGACATATTTTAATTGGCTAATAGGGAAAAGTTTTATAGGAGTCATAGGGGGAGCACAAAATAAGAACACTGGAGTTTCAGAAAGAATATTCTTAATGTAGATTCAGCATAATTTGAAGTAAACTGAGCTGAAAGTCAAAGAAATCAGTTAGAGGCTCCTAAGTGGCTGAATCAGTTAAGCATGACACTCTTGGTTTCAGCTCCGGTTATGATCCCACGGTTGGTGAGACTGAGCCGCATCAGGCTGTGTTGACAGTGCAGATCCTGCTAGGGATTCTCTCTCTCTCCCTCTCGCTCTGTCCCTCCCCTGCTCGCTGTCTCTCTCTCTCTCAAAATAAATAAATAAATGTTTAAAAGTTAAAAAAAAAAGAAAGGAAACCAGTTAAAAAGCTCCTGCAATAGTCTAAGATAGGTGATCCACATCTGAGGCAGTGGCAATGAGGAGTGTAAGTGGCAATGAGAGTAAGGGTGACAGGACAGCTTCTTGGGAGTTAGCATTTAGTAGGATGTGATGGTAGATTCTATATAAAATTTCAGAGAAGAGAGAGTTGAGAATTATGCTCAGGTGTCCTATTTGGATAAAGCAGAGGGGTATCACCAACCAATGTAGCAAATGCAGAAGGACAGCCTGTGCTCTGAGGAAGTGAGCACTAGCAGGGTGAGCAAAAATGGCCAAAAAGAATGAGTTGTGCCTGGCATATACTGAATTTTATGTGCCTATGGGAAATCTAAGGAGAAATGTTCAGAAGACACTTAGATGTGTGGCCCCCTACTTACAGGAGAGTTCATAGCCAGAAATAGCACTCTGGGAGCCATTAGTATGTAGATGGTGGCTGAAATTGTAGCAGGCATCAGATTTATCGAAAAGAGGTTAAAGGATAAGAAGAGCTAAGGATAGAAGTAACAGTGGCATGTCAAGCATGGGGGAAGTAAGAAGACTAAGCGATGGACAATAAAAAGGAAAGATCAGAGGAACAGGAAAAGAAGCAGAAATCCAAGAGAAGAGAGAGTTTTAGCAAGTGCCAACAATGGACAGGGGCTTTAGGTAACAGGTGGATTTGGCAACTGGGAGGTCACTGTTGACTTTCTGTGAACAGAGTTTTGCAAATGGTGGGGTGGTGATGGATGATGAATTGATTACTTTGTGACACAATCCTGTTAACTTTCTCTTCTCTCTTACTATTCTTTAGCTATTCCTTTTGGTTTTGTTTCATTTTGTTTTTTTTACGTTTCTCCATTTTCTGGAAACCAACATTCTCACCCTGAGATGCTCCTCCTTTGGCTCTACTCTCTGATACCCTGCTTCTTCTTCCTCTAAATGCACTGGTTTTGTTTTTATATCTCCCTTGTTCATTTCTTTATTTCCTGTGTTGTTCCCCACAACACACTTTGTGGCAGTTCCCCCCAAAATCCTGTTGACTTTTTTAAAAAAATTAAGTTTATTTGTATTTATTTTGAGAGGGAGATAGAGAGCAAGCAGGGCAAGGACAGAGAGATAGGGAGATAGAATCCCAAGCAGGCTCCACACTATCAGCACAGAGCCCAATGTGGGGCTTGAACTCACAAACCCGTGAGATTATGACCTGAGCTGAAATCAAAAGTAGGATGTTCAACCCACTGAGCCACCCAGGTGCCCTCTGTTGACTTTTTTTGATCAGGAAAGCAGACCTGGGTGTGACCATAAATCTGTATCTTACAGGCTGTGTGCCCTTAAATTATTTAATTTTTCTAAGCCTCACTGTCAATGTGTAAAAACTGAGGGAAAATGCTTGTTTTCACTTGGTCACTACATCAGCTCTACCTCTTCCACATATACAAAAAACACATTCATCTTGCTCCTTCAAACCTTCCCATTTGTTATTATCATCACGTGCTTTATCACATAAAATGTACTGACCACACCCAAAAATAAAAATAATGACAAATAAAACCTTTGTACTGTTTTTGATTCCTTTCCGTGGCTTCTCATCATCCCTTCCTTTTTCTTTGCCAACCAATTCCACTGATTACTTCTGTACATTATCTGCCCAAGTCATATCGATCCTTCTATTTGTGTTATTCAGGGTGCAGTGGGAACCACTAAGTGTTTTAATAGAGCTATTTTGTACACATGAAATTGATTAATCTGCCTCAGTCAGGAATTCAGGTCTGTGAGTTAAACACAGGCTGACAAAATAGAGCAAGAGTAACAAAAATTAGAAGATTGAGTTCAATGATTTGATTCTGGTGAGTCAATCAATCTTTCTGACCGCCACGTTTGTCCTCTATAGATTGGATGTAACAACCTATCTAGTCAAACGAGGAAATTATAAAGATCGAATATAATTATGCATAAAGAATTTGAACATAAAATGCTATATACCTGATAGTGTGCTAGTACTATGATCCAAATAGTGTTACAGATTTCATAATAAGCCATCAACTAATTCCTTCCTAATAAAAAGTACATATCCACAATAACTGGATAGGAATCAGCATGTGATCTAAACCCATGGAGCATGCAACATTAATTGTCCTACATGAGAATTGAAGGCTTTCCTGAGCTGAAACCAATTAGTCACACATAAGAACAGAATAATACTCCACAGCAGCAACTTTCATAAGAAATGTATTTTGTTCCCACTCCTTCTAAACACCAATTGATCTGTATTTCTATTCCAATGGCTTTCCTTACATAAGGAAACAGAAGTCATATTTTTAAAAAAAGCATATAACATGGCTGGAAATTCTTATTGTCTTACACCTAAATAAAAGAAAATAGAAACTCCTAAGTTCACGGGAGAGCAAACTACAGTAAATGGGGTAGGGATCTAAGCCCCTGGTAAAATTATATTCTAAGGAGTGGAAAGCTACCTCTCTGTCCAAATAATGAGCGACTGTGGTGATGGCACCTGTGGTCGGATGCACAGAGAAGATCCCTGGGGACTTCGGGGTCTGCTCCAAAATGCTATACTTCAGGCGTGTGTGCATCGTATCCGGTTCATCTTTGTCTGTGGCACAAACCACTCCCACTGTAGTACCTACATGTTTTACAAAAAAAAAAAAAAGAAAGAAAGAAAGAAAGAAAAGAAAGAAAGAAAAGAAAGGAAAAGAAAAGAAAAGAAAAAAGAAAAGAGTCTTTAATTTGCAGAACTACAAAACAAATTTATGAATATCTACACTTTTCAAATTTTGACAATGGTAGTGGAAATCTAATTTTAAATGGGTTTCTTATGAGACATGTTCCATCTTTCAATAGCACCAATGAAGAGGGCTTCAAATTTATAATATAAATACTATGAGACTCTATATCAAGGCACACTTCTACTTTGCTCACAGTTAAAAAAAAATTGATAAGAAATTACTAAAAACTTATTTAAATGGCAACCAAGAATAATTTCAACACATATTCCCACATACTGCAATAACAAACCAAGCTGGAGAGAGAAATCATGTTTCCTAGGTAAATCAGATTTTTTAATTGAATTTCTGATTAATAGATAAATCAAGACTGACTTAGGGTGTAACTGTATAAGTGGTCAACTTGACCTTTCACAGTCTAGTCTCTATTCCAGTATTTTTTCTTTTCTGTGCCAGTCTTTAACGTGTTTCATTATCTTTCACCCACTTAGCATCCACACCGCACTGCCCTCAGCCCCACTTAATCCTCGGTAAGGGATTTCATACTATTCATCCTTCAGGGAGAATTTAGGTCAATTGTTTCTTCATTTGGAGCTATTAATATTTGTCATCTGTATGGAATGTAAGAATATTGCTCAGGTAAAGGATTATACATATCAAAGAGTACAAACAGGTGGTATTGTCCAGTGTAAGGTCAGTGTTCCAATGCCCATGGAAATGTAATACATAGATCCACTTTGCCTATAGCCCAGTAAGGGCTGGCCTGATGAACAAATACATAGATATATACAGTCACACAGATATTCACACACACACACACACACATGCGCGCGCGCACACACACACACACACATTTGCTGAAATACAGTATTTGAAGGAAATAAAAACCAATTAATGCCAGAAATATTAGTTTTAAATATTTTTCCCTGTAATATGTCTTTAAAATTTGTATATATGTGTGTGTACATGAACAGATACATACACACACACACACATACACACAGATAGATAAACATTATAGAGAATGTCCAGTTACATGTTCACAAATAGTGACAAGACTTTTGCAGTGGATCAATATGAAGACATGAAGTAATTATCTTATTATGAGAAAACAAATGCTATTCATCTATGTTTGCATAGAAAAAAAGTTCCTAATCTTTTTAAGGCAGAATATTTTCTTCCTGAGATTTTACTGACAGGACACAAACACTATGTTAATTCTCTGGATTAAAAACTGTTTTACTTATCACAGAAAATCCTCCGAAAATCTTCAAAACCCCTTTTCATGAGCAGTATACTTAAATATTAGTTGAGCACCCCATGTCCCAAATTCTGTGTGTGAATTAAGGCAAACTCAAAGAACACCCAGCAGTTCAGAGTATCACAGCCCAAACTGGTCTGAACCTTCTCGTGTGGGTTGCTTAAAGTACCTTGGGTTCATCTGGGAATCAAAGTACTTGCCCTTGGTTCTCATCTATCACTATCATAAAGAAGAGAATTCTCAAGAAAGACTTTGAAACTAATAATCTCTCTTTGAAAAAAAAGTAAACTGTACCAGAGTCACAGTCACTCTGAAGCTGAAAATATTATAGGTCATCTAATGTAATTAACTCCTTTTACAGGTCAGGGAACTCAAAGGGACTTCCACCATTTCCCACAGTGAATTAATCACAGACCCCAAATCAAAAACTAGGTTTTTTAAATTCCAAACCAACAATTTTTATTTTTTTAATTGTACCATATGAGTAATAAGGAGGCTAACATCTATTACATCAAATTATCCAAGTAAAATATAAAGGGGTATAGCAGATATAAAAATATACTGAAGACCTAAGTAACTACTAGAAACTTTAATAGGCAAGTTAGCAAAGTCACACTTTATGAATGAGTCCGCATTCTTTCAACGTTATTGTGAATGGCTACTTTCCATGTTGCAAGTCTCAGAAGACATCAGGGCCAACTAACCTGAACATTTTGGCTTCCCATGTCTGAGCAAGTGTTTAGAATATGTGTGTAAGCTTCTCTAGAGTTATCCCCATATTCATTCTAAATTGGAAGTAGTAAAGTAGCAGTTCTGAGAAAAGAGGTAATATAAACTAGAAATCTTTAAAAAATTGTGTTCTCAGTAGATGTCATTTAACACCTCCTTAAATAAAACCTAATATAAATATTGATATTAATTTTACTTTTATTGTAATTCTATCCTATATGTCCTGTCTTAGAGGAGAGAATGATGATAAACCCACAAAATGATCAAGTGTAATAAAGTATATAAATTGAATATGATTCCAAGATTAAATAACTGTTATCTGCTTTTATAATTAATTGATACCATATAGACCACACCAAACTCTTCTAATATCCTATAGGTTACACTCTGTTTGGATGTGATAGGATTAAATGTATTCTGGAAAGTAGATACTGGTTCAATATCATCTCAGGATAATCTGGTCTTGAGTATAAAAAAACCCAATGTCTCAAAAAAATGTGCACAAAGATATTTAGCATAATACATTTTACTTTTAAAAGTTCTCTTGCCATAAAGTCCAAAAGGAATAAGGATTGATTTAACTAAATGCAAGTCCTGAACCTCTGTACCTCAAAAAGTAGACTTAATAAAACTGAAAAGCAGCAATACAATGGGAAAATATTTGCAGTGCAACAATAGGTTAATAACCTTAATATGTAAAGAGCATTTTTAGGTAGATTTAAAAAAAGAAACAGTTAAGAGCAAGATAAACACCAAGGAACATAAGAGCAAAGGAAATGCACATACAGTTCCTAAAAGAAAAAAATACAAATGGCAAAAAAAAAGCCATATGCAAGAAAGTTCAATTTAAAAAAGTTATCTTACCAAGTCTGCTACTTTCTGGAACTTCAAAATTATAAATAGCTTCTGTGAAAATAGGGTGGTTGTCATTTTCATCCTCCACTCTGATGGGCAGTGGAAGAGGCATGTCTGCTGAATACCCATCTGCAGTTGAGGCATAGGCAATCAACTGTAAAACAGGAAAAAACAATATCAATGGTCCATTAATACAAGATTCTAGCAAGAGAGAACACTATGATTTACCTGCTACCTTCTTTGCAAATCTTTTCGATAACAAACCACTAAAAACTTCTACTCAATTCTTTTTTAATCACCCAAGCATCGAATGGGAAAACACTTTAAGTACAGTAAAGAGCATCCAATATTTGGTAGAAAGGGCTACACTTTGAATAAAACCCCATAGTATAGCCAAGTCAGAGATAATTCTGTCCATTAGACTCAGATTATACTCTTACTCTATCCATAATCAGAAAGTTATACTGGGGACAACAATTAAACTCACTGCAAACAGAAAAATCCCTACTCTACATCATCTAAATAATACCATGATTTTTCCATTTGTAACTAGCAAAGCCCTTTTATTGTTTTACTTCATAAATCACATATTTATAAGAGTTTTTCTGACAAAATGCATTTACCAGTTTCCACATTGCTAAGTAATCGAAGGGAAATGTAATATCAAATAGAATGTATTTCTATTCAGCATGTGATTATAACACCGAGTTAAAAATTTTCTAACCAAAAGCAAAGAAATGTCATGTGGTGGACATCAGTCACATTTGCTTACCAGCATCTCTTCCTTCTTCTAGGAAGAGAATCCCTCTTTCCTATGGAGGAACATTCCCCCCTGCACCACAGGGATAACCACATGACCTCATAGAATTTACCATATTACACTGAAAATTGTCTGAGTTATTCTCCATTGATTGTAAGCTCATCAATATCAGAAGACTGGCTTATTAACCTTGTTTGGATTTGGTCTCCCACTTTTGCTCCCTTATCTAGTTCCCAGACATGGTCAGAGAATCACACAAGTGGAAGGAGGGGAAAAAAAAGAAAACTAAAAGAAGAAAAAGAAGAAGAAGAGGAAGAAGGAGGAGGAGGAGGAAGAGGAGGAGGAGGAGGGAGGAGAGAAGAAGACCCTTCTAATCAACTGTGGCCACGTCCTGGAGAGAGGCAAATGTAGCATGACCAGAGAGAGAAAGCACCTCATAAACAAAACCAACTCTTGGAAATATACTGGAATATACATCCAAATACAACTAAACCTCTTTGCTCATTTTAGGCTTACCTAACAGAAGTTAAGATAAAGAGCAAATCAAATATTCCAAAATACTGCACAACTTATTTCTTTTGACTCTAAGAAGAGAATGAAGGAAGACAGAAAAGAGTCCATAGGGTATCAGAAGAAACACAGTTTAATCATTTAAAATCATGCATATCAATAAAACTCCTACATCAAAAACTTCATATTCTTCACGATCCACAGGCCGGGTACAATACAGATTTCCAGTGTCTCTTTCTATGAAAAACAAATTTAAAGGTTCTTGGTCAACTCCATGCCCACTTATTGAGTAGAAAATGGTATAGTTCTGTGCTGCATCAGATTGAACCTAAGAGGAAAAAAACACAGATGTAAAAATTTTAAATCAAAATCTGTTAAAATGCTATCTTTTTTATGTAGCTTATGCATTTATATCTTTTTATATTAAATACACTTTGGGAAAATAATAATCACATTTATCATTTCATCAACGCACAAAACAGTAAGAAGCATTTGGTAAAAGATTTTTTAAACTGCTCAATTTAATGAAAATAATGTTCAACATAAAAAGTAACCAAAGAAAATCTAATTAAAAACAATAAACCATAACCTATACAAGGAAGACTCTTCCTGGCAGAGGAAACATGAATAACAAAGGTGAGGGTTGTGTCTGGAGTGTTCAAGGTGCAGCAAAGAGGCCACTGTGATTGCAGCAGGGAAAGCCAGTAGTCAGCAAGAAGTAAGAGATAAGGCCACATCATATCAGGGATTTCAATGCTGTTGACTCTTCCCTACAAACAGGTGGAAAGCCATTGGAGACTTTAGACAAGAGTGATATTGTGTAAGTTATATTTTAAAAAGATAATACTTGGTGTTTTTTTTAGGACTAAATGGGGGTGGGTGGGTAGGTAAGCAAAGAAGCAGGAAGACCACTTGGTTACTGTAAGAATTCATGGGAGTAATGATGGTTTGTTAGACAGCATGTAGCAGTAGAGATGGTGAGAAGTGCTTAGATTCTGTATATAATTTGAAGGTACAGCCAACAGAATTTGTCGATAGGTTGGACGTGTAGCGTGAAGATGACACTATGTCAGAGGGTGCTGACATCCCCTAATATCTATTCTGCCCATGTTCCTTTGTATGAGAATTTATAGCTGAGTGCAAGATTGCCCAAAAGAAAGACACTTCCCAGGCTCCCTTACAATTAGGTATGGCCACATGAAAAGATCACGTCAATGAGATATAACCAAAAATTATATATGCAAGATCTAGACTGTGCCTAGAAAGTGAAGGAATGGGTCCCCCCATGTGGACACAGAATGATGCGCTCTCTTGAACCTGCAGAGATGGTCAAACTAAAAAAAAAAAAAAAAAAAAAAAAAAAAAAAAAAAAAAAAAAAAAAAAGTCTAGGTACCTGGTGATTTTTTTATATTAAATATCTCTACTAGATCATACTTTCACATAAAATAAATAAATCTGTCATGCATAAGCCACTTAGTGACATTTTGGTTCCTGAATTACTTGCTACCCCATCATGGAGGAAACAGCATGTCCCTTGGTTGTAGATTCTGCAGTGTAGCTTGGAGACTCATTCCTGAAAGTTCAACCTAAAGTTTGTTTCTTCAGTCCCCGCCACAATTCTATAAATGGCTTATGTGCTGCAATAAACCACTCTCTGTTAACTACTTAGAGGGACGTATGTTCTCTACAACTAAAACCTTACCAAACCGACTCTGATGCCCTAACAACTGAAAGAATGAGGTGTCATTAACGGAGACGGTTGGACGTTTTTAGGAGAAAACACAAATTTTTTGTTTTCTGCATATGTTAAGTTTGAAATATCCGTTAAGCTTTCAAGTAGAAATAGCAATTAGGCAGTCTGTCCTAGAAATATGAAGTCTTAAGTCTCCAACAGATAACAGTACTCAAAGCTACAAGACTGGATGAGATTATCAAGGCAGTGAATACAAAGAAACAAGAGACAAGGTTCGTGGGTCGAGCCTGGAGCTCTCCAAAGTTTACAGAAGAGGAAACATGGGAATGAGGAAAAACTAGCAAAACATAGTATGAAAGAGTGGCCAGGGAGGTAAATGGACAACCAGATGAGTGGTGTTCTAGAAGCCAGGTGAATAAAGTATTTGGAGGAAGAGGGAAGGGTCAGCTATGGCAAATGTACACATGTCAAGGAAATGAGGACTGAGGAGTGGTGACAAGATTAGCAATGCAAAGGCTAAAATTAGCTATGATAAGTATAACTTTGGTAATCAGAAATCATGTCTTAATATGCTTCATCAGTGCTTAAAATACAAAATTTGAGGGGTGGCTGGGTGGTTCAATCAGTTAAATGTCTGACTCTTGATTTTGGCTCAGATAATGATCTCATGGTTCGTGGGATTGAGCGCTGCATTGGGCTCTGTGCTGACAGCACAGAGCCTGCCTGGGATTCTCTCTCTCCCTCTGCCCCTCTACCCCTCTTGTGCTCTTTCTCACTCAAAAATAAATAAATATTAAATATATATATATATATTTTTTTTTTTGAAAAGGAAAAATAAGGTCTAGCGATGAACAGAATTTTTGAAAAAGTGCGAAAGACACTGGAAAGACAGTTAAAAACATCAACAAATAGGACACAGGTCCCACCGCTGGAATGAAACATCAGCCACAATAATAGAAAAAAGCAAGCACCAGGCCACAGCCCTACTTCAGCAACGGCTTTCGTTGTATGTGTTCCATGTAGATCTTTATGAAAAGTAAACTTGACCTGATTAAAAACTTCTCCTTGTTTTTAGGAAAAAGTTGAACTCCCTAACAGGACACACATGGTCCATTATGGTTTAATGTCTACCTGCGTCCTCTGCCTCATCTCCCTGCTCCAGCCCCACCATAAGTAGGAGGACTCCTCCAACGAGCTCGCCTTCTCCACAATTACTTACTTGCACAACGTCTTCATCCTTCAGGTCCACCCTCTGCTGTCTCCTCCTCTAAGTCTTTCCTTGATTTGTACCACATTTCATCTCAGGACTCGGTGCTGACCCCATGAATTCTCAGATCACCCAAACCATCTCTACCACAGCACCTATCACTCAGTATTGTAACCACCTGCCTACCCTTCTTCCTCACTATTATAGCCTACAGGAGAGCAAGGGTATGACTAAATTTATTTCTAGTGTTGTACTTACAGCAGTACCTTCCATGGGACCTAGTAGGTGCTCAATAAGTAGCTGCTAAACGAATGAAAAAACTAATAAAGATCTTTCAGTGGCTGCATTCTCTCTCATATTATTCTTAGTTTTTTAGTGGTTTTCTCATTTTACTCACTTTTATTATACTTCATGAAAATCTTCAATCAAATCTGCTTATTTAAATGTCTAAAGAGTTGTGAAGCCTGAACAAAACAGGCTCTGGAATCAAAACCTTCCCAATCAGAAAGAATGTAAAACCTACTTGTTGAAGAAACAAAGGGAACGGGCCCAGTGAATTCTCTTGCATTGAACAGGGAATAGGGGCCCATCTCCTCTTGGAACGCCTGAGAACGGCTTCTTTAGCATGTCTTTTCCTCAGCACCTGAATTTAGAGAAAGGAAATTAGATAAATAAAAGCACCACAGCCAATGACGACGTTGTTACAAATGAGTAGCCAGTCCATAAACCTAATGCCTCCCTGGAGGCTCAGTCTCAGGAGTTTTTTGAAGTATTTTTTAAGGCTTTTTTGCATTAGGTGGGTAAGAAAGAATGCATCCACATTTTAAAGGTTTCATAAACTGAAGAATTTCATTTTGTATATCTTTCTAACACTGACCATACTTTCAAGGTTAGGAAAATCATCAGTGCACTCTTAGTTTTCCTTCTTTCCCAAATACACATAGTGAACACATTCTCTTTATAACAATCTACAGATGGCCCTTACCTGTTCTTTCTGCTAAAACCTCACAGTCTCAGAAGAACCAGAGCAAGAAAATGCATGCTCTTCATTGCCTTATCACTCCCATCTGCACTCTCCAATATGGTAGCTGTAGCCATACACTGACTACAGCAAGACCTTGGATTGCAAGTAAGTAACTTGTTCCGAGAGGGTTGCAAGATGAGCAAACATTTGTAATAAATTTTAATTTGATAAATGAGCGATGTCTTGCAATACAAGTAGTATGTGACATCGAACGTCACATGATCATAACTGAGCCAATGGTTCTTGAAATTTCCTTTGATATACAAATGCTTTGGATTACAAGCATGTTTCTGGAACAAATTATATTCACAAACCAAGGTTTTACTGTATTTAAATTTAAATTGATTATAATTAAATAAAATGTAAAATTCCATCCTTCAGTGGCACTAGCCACATGCCGAGTGCTCCGTAGCCATTAATATTGGGCTATTATATCAGGCCATGCAGATTACGGAACATTTCCATCACTGCAAAAAGTTGGATGGGACTTTTTAGTGATTTCTATTTCATTTCATGGTGTTGCGAAGAAGAAATTTATTTCCTGAGAATTAATACATAAATAATTTTACTAAACATTTATTGATGTGCTAAAGAGTCATTTAAATTAATTTTATCATTAATACACTTAAGACGGATTCATTGTAATCCACTCTAAACCTTTAATCTTTTTTGTGACTGCTTTCACAATGGCGTTTCTCATGATGTGGATTCTAGAACTGCCAATACCATGCCACGTATACTTTTATTCATACCTACACACTTCAGGATTTCCATCCTATTTTAACACCAGAATCACTGTGACACTTGAAATCAACCTCTTATTCACGGGGAACCTCTGTGCCTAACGTGAATTTAACATACACCTATTGACTCGGGAATTAGGTATTACTGAGACCATAAGCAGAAAAAGGATCAATTTGTGCCCTCAACAACTACAGACAAATTGTTTACACAAATAAAAAATTCCAAATGCTTATAAAAGAGGGGCAACCAAACTGACAGACACGGACACATGAAAGCAATTAGTTGGACGTTAGAAGTGGAAGAAGCCTTCCCAAAGGAGATGATGCCATGTAGATTTCACAAGGCCAAACCCAAAGCCAATGTTCAGCCTGTGTTGGTGGGGAAAAGGGGGGAAGAAAGAGAGGGAGGGAGAGAAAGCAAACTGAAGGGAAAGGAGAAGAGGAGGCTTAAAAACCCAATTATCTTTTTGTCCTCTTTGCAATTTTTAATGAAATATTTAAATGAAAAGAAAAGCACGCCTGAAAATATCAACATGTTTTGAATACCTTCTTCTGATGTTCCAGGAGCACCTTAATCTCTTTCTGTGCCTGTGTCCTGGAGTCAGAAAGCCATATGGTGAATGATCTTTTCTCATCAGACAACACCATGGTGCTAGTTGTGTATACTGATCCATCATCTAGAACTCTGAAATCAGGGTCACCTGACCGGATGAGGTCTGCAGACCTGAGGCACTCTTTCAAATTAACTGCAAGCAAAAGTTTCCAAGTTGTAAAGTAGAAACACATGCAAAAGAAAAAAAAAAAAAAAAGACATGTTAAGATAATGTATACATTTTCTTCAAAATCATGAAGTAGAATGAAATAAATCAATCACTCTGCATTTACCAAATATCTTAACTAGTTTTCTTCACATGTATAAAAAATGATACTTTTCTTTCAGTTAAAAAGGAATTCTTGGGCACCTGGGTGGCTCAGTTGGTTGGGCATCCGACTTCAGCTCAGGTCATGATCTCACAGTTCATGGGTTCAAGCCCTGCAGCAGGCTCTGTGCCGACAGCTTAGAGCCTGGAGCCTGTTTGGATTCTATCTCTCCCCCCTCTCTGCTCCTCCCTCATTCATGCTTTGTCTCTCTCTGTCTCCCAAAAATAATTAAAAGTTAGAAAACAAATTTTAATTAAAAAATAACTCAATTGTATACAGGCATGAAAGTGTTTTTCAACCTTTATGTGCTTCTAAAAGACTTATAAAAATGATCTATTAAAGAGGAGTGTGTGTGGCATCACGAAGAAGCCGAGATATAACGCCCCCACACACAGCTGAATCAACACACACAGCTGAATAAACAAACAGAAAAGTTTTCCTCAACACCACAGTCTGAGTCTTTTAAGATACACCTGTCTTCAGCCAGAAGTTGTACACATGAGCCCAAAGAGTAATAGACAGTATGAATTTAGCAAATAGTCAAGTAAGAAAAGTCTATCTTTGTTTTTTTTTAAGATTTTATTTTTAAGTAATCTCTACACCCAACATGGAGCTCAAACCCCCACCCCAAGATCAAGAGTCGCATGCTTCACCAACTGAGCCAGCCAGGAGCCCCAGAAAAGTCTCTTTGAATTCTTCCCACTGGCACTTTTTTGTTACATGCCTCCCCCCAAGCCATCGGCTCCCCTTCCGCCCTTAGTTCTCTTCGTGTTCCTATTCCGAGCTTTCCAGGGCTCCCCACTGAAACCCCGCATGCAAGTCTCCTCTCCCTGGGAGTTTTCCCAGGTAAAAAAGTAATAAAATATAAATATCAATGTAAGTGGTTTAAAACTTCGGTCAGAAATATCAAATCCATCTCATTCTTCAACTTTCCGGTTTAACAACAACCAAACTGATACATTAATGTTCACTTAAGGAATAACTTCTCATAGGATTCCTATGTCACTCATGTAAAGTGTTTTCACTTTAATCCAAATCTGTCACAGATGGAAACACGTAATCAAAAAGAAGTGAACATCTTTAGTAATGATGACATATTTCTCTCTTCACATTTTTGGCAAAGTAACTTCTGGTCTATCCCCTCAAGAGAGGGGTGACCTCTCTTTTACATCCTTTTTCTTCTTCCTTTTCTTAGGAATGAAAGTGACATTTGCTTAATAAAAATTAAATGAGGCACTTAACCACAACTGAGACACTTTGCTGAAAAAGTAAATTTGGTATCTTTGGGACAAGCTATAGCTCTAAAAAAACCCACAAAAACAAAAACAAACAAAACAACAACCATGATGCTTTCTTCTAATATTCCTATACCACATGGCAAGTCCACCTGGGCAGAGCTTCCCAGCTGTTGGGAAAGTTTGAGGTTCCCCAAATTCTCCATGTGAAAATGGCTGATGAAGTTCAGTTTTGAAAGGAATGGCTCATTTTGTGGTGTGCCTCAAGGCAGCTCTAGCATTGATAAAAATACTGCTCTGATTTTCTCAGCTACTTATCAATATTTCTCCAGTGCTTAGAATCCTAGGGTAATGAAAGGGCTACATTCTACATTTAACTCTTCATGTAATCTCTAAACTGTTAAAACATAAATTACTACAAAAACGTGGATTAGAACATTTGCACTAGAATCAACCACAGAATTCCATGGAATTATAAAAAACAGAATATATATTTCAAACCATCTTGAATTGTATCTAAATATAAATAGATTAAGGCTAAACCCAAAAGGCAAAGGTTGGATAACATGCTCTTTTCAGCATAAGGAAACTAAATTTCTGTTTTAAAACCACTTGTTTTGAAATGTCTCACCTCTGCCAACTATTTTGTCTGCCTCTAGTTTGGAAGGTATATTAAATGTCACCTTTTTGCAGGCTTCACAGGCAAAACTGAAGACCTAGAATTAAAAAAAAAAAGTCACATTAATACAGTGTAGAATAAAGAATAAGGTTTCAAACAAACAAGAAAAATAAGTCCTAGAGATCCACTGTTAACTGTAACTGTATCATAGTTAACTGTATCATATTATGTACTTAAAATTTTTGCTAAAAGAATAGGTTTTATGTTCAGAGCTCTGTCATAAAAAAATAATAGAAATAAAGAGGGTGAGAGGAAACTTTTAGAAATGATGGATATATTTATGCCAAAGGCTGTGGTGATGATGTGACAGATGTATACTTATCTCCAAACTCATCAAATTGTATATGTAAACCTGTACAGCTTTTTGTATGTCAATCTTAACTCAATAAAGTTGTTTACAAAAAAAGAATAAAAGCACATGATTATCTCAATAGATGCAAGCAACTGACAAAACCCAACTTCTATTTACCATTAAGAGTCCTCAACAAACTAGGACTAAAAAGAAATTTGCTCAACATGATAAAGGGCATCTATGGAAAACTTAGAACCAATATCATACTTAATAAAAAAGACTGGATGCTTTCCTTTGACATCAGGAACAAGACAATGATGTCCTTTCTCACCACTGCTATTCAACATTATATGGAAACTTCTAGACAGGGTAATTGCACATGTGCACATGCACACATAAATTAAAGGCATCTCGATTGGGAAGGAAGAAGAAAAATAGTCTCTATTTGCAGATGATGTGATCTTGTACATAGAAAATCCCAAAGAATCCACTAAAAAAAACTATCAAAAATCATAAATGAGTTCAGTAAGATTGCAAGATACAAGATCAACATACAGAAGTCAATTACATTCCTATACACTAGCAATATAAAACTCTGGAAACAGAAGTAAGCAACCACTTCCTTTCACAACAGGTGTTCCATCTTCATGGATCAGAAGATATATTTCCACAATTCACCAAACAGATTCAATGCAATCCTTATTAAAATCTCAAAAGTATTTCTCCAAAAATTAAAAATTAATCCCTGTAGAAACGCAAGAGACCCAAAGACCCAAATAAATTTGAAAGCAACAAAGTCGTAGGACTCACATTTCCCATTTTCAAAATTTACTACAAAGATACAATCATCAAGACAGAGTGGTACTGGCATAAAGGTAAGTGTAGAGACAAATAGGACACAACTGAAATCCCATAACTTAGCCTGTACCTTTGTGGTTAGCCAATTTTTGGCAAAGGTTTCAGTAAGTTCAAGGGAAAGAAGCAGTCTTTTCAACAAATGGTGTTGAGATCATTAAATATCCTCATTAAAAAAATGAATTTGAACCCCCACCTCATACCATGTGTAAAATTAATTCAAAGTGGATCACAGACCTAAAGAACTAAAACTGTTGAAGAAAACTAAAAAACAAATCTTAATGATCTTAGGTTAGGCAATGATGTCTTATAACACCAAAAGCACAAATGATAAAAGAGCAATTAATAGGACTTAATCAAATTTAAAACTTTTGCTTCTCAAAAGATACCATATAGAAAGTGAAATTACAACCTAGATAATGGGAGAAAATATTTTCTAATCACATAGCAATAAAGGACTTATATCAAAAAATAAAAAAAAAAACTTTTACAACTCAATAATAAAAAGACAAACAACACAAAAAATGGGCGAAGGATTTGAACAGATTTTATCCAAAGATGTATAAACAGCCAATGAGCGAATGAAAAGATGCCCAACATCCTTAGGCACTACAGTCATGCAAACCACAGTGAGATACCCATGAGGATGGCTAAAATAAACAAGACAGAAAATTACAAGTGTTGCCGAGGATGTAGAAAAACCGGAACCCTCATGCATTGCTGGTGGAAACATAAACGGTGTGGCAAATTTGGAACACAGTTTGGCAGTTTTTTAAAAAGTTAATCATATACAACATATAATCCAGCAATTTCACTCCTACCCTTAAGAAATAAAAACCTATGTCCATGGAAAAACTTGTACATGAATATTCACAGCAACATTACTTACAATAACAAAAAAAAGTGGAAACAACCCACATGTCCATTAGGTTATGAATGAATAGACAAAATGTGATACATCTAAATGGAATACCATTCATCCATAAAAAGGGACAAGGAGCTGGTGTAATGCTATGATACCAATATGGATAAATCTAAAAAAACATTATGCTCAGTGAAAGAAATGACACAAAGGAGCACATACTGTATGATTTCACTTATAAAAACGTCCAAAAGAGGCAAATATACAGAAACAGACTAGATTAGTTGCCTAGGACTGGGGGTAGGACTGGGGAGTGGCTATAAATGAGTATGAGACTTCTTTCTGAGATGATAGAAATGTTCTAAAATTAGATTGTGGTAATGATTGTGCATTCTTTAAGTTTGCTGAATTGTACTGAGCTGCACACAGCAAAGGTGAGTTTTATGGAATATACATTATTATCTTGAAAAAGCAGTTTTGAAAAATGATATAAAAACCATAAAAATCACTCTTTCCACGCCCACCTCTACAAATCAGCAGTGAGCAGTATCCCAAATTTACAAATTCATGTAACTTCAGCAAAACAAAACTGGATAATAGCCACAAAAATGTATTTCATTTCTGATACAATCAAATATAAAACAAGTTCCTTCATAAAATTAAAAGATTTTAAAACACGGTGGTAACAAACTGTATACACATATACATATATGCATAATCAAATCTTATGCTAATATGTGCTCTAAATATTACTGCAATGTAAGATCTATCAATGATAGATCTATCTACATTTATCGAGGAAAACAACTCAAAAATAGAGTCAATATGTAATAGTATTGTTTATTTTAAATATAGTAATCAAAAAAGTCATTTTCAGAAAGTCATAATCATATTGCTGTTACAATAAAGTAATAAGTTATTTGTTCTTAAAAACAATTCAACCGTATTATATATGCTCAACTGAATTGTCTCTAAGAATATAGTTGTCACCATGGGTGAAAAATGGTTTTATTTAATAATGCACCCATTGGTCCAAATAAGTTTTAGCTCTATAGTTGGTATTCCTGAATATCAATAGAAAGCCATGTTCAATACATTTTAATCACAACTGTTTAAAAAAATATTTGAATTTAAATATGAAATGTTTAAATCAAATAGAACATACTAAAATAAATATGCATGTACATTTTCAGATTTTTAAATTAATATTTTGCAATTTTTGCTTCATTTTTTATAAGTTTATTTATTTTGTTTTAATAACCTCTACACCCAACATGGGGCTTGAACTCACAATCCAAGATCAAGAGTCTCATGCTATTCTAACTGAGCCAGCCAGGCACTCCTTCATTTCATTTTTTTAATTAAAATGTACAGATGTGGCTATGCTCTATTCCATTTCCTTCCTCTTCTTCAAGGAATAGTTTCTTCTAAGTTGGCATTTATACTTCCCTTGTAGGCTTTTGTACTTTTATTATATACGCATGTGCCTATAAAGTATAAGCTGATACTGTGCACAGCTTGTGTCTTCATGCGTCCTTTTACAACTTGTATTTTTCACTCAACAATACATTTAAGATTTTTCTGTGAATATACCACAGTTTATTTTTCTCATTCTCCTATGATGGTCATTTAGATTATATTCTTGTTTCCTACTTTCTCTATTACAAATGACACTACAGTAAACAGCCTTACAGGTGCAAGATATTAAGATGCATACCTGCGACAGAGACATATGAGGATCTCCAATTCCAATAATTACTGCCAACTTGTTGTCCAGCGGGAACATAAATTTATTTCATGTCCCCCAGAGTATTAGATACCTCTATTTCTCATATCCTCTACGCCAGTTCATTATACTTGACTTTTCTAACTGTTGCCAATCTTACAGCTGATGCTTTAATGTGCATTTTCTTAATTTCTAGTGAGATTGAACATCACTTCTTGTGTTAATTTGTCATTTACCTCCTGTAAATCGTCCGTTGCTCTCATTTAGTCATTTTTGTATTGCTTGTCTTTTTTAAATCATATTTTACTTGTAGGCTTAGGTGGTTTGCTTTTGTAATCTTTTAGTGGTATCTTTTGATAATCAGTGCTTCACTTTGAAAGTAGTCAAATTTATTAAGTGTTTCCTTTAGTTTTTTAAAGTAGTTTCATTAAAACTTTCCTCCAGTTTATACTTTTGTGTATTAATATCTCCCCTCTGCCCTGTCATAAACACACTATCTGATACTTCTTTACAAAAATTTTAAAGTTACTTCCAACTTTTAAATCTTTTACTCATCTGGAATTATTTTGTGTGTGATGCACTGTAGATATCTAATCTTGTCCTTTGCCATATGGATAGCCAACTATCTAGAACCATCATTGAGTAGTTCTTCCCTTCTTAACTAATAATGATACTGCTGCATATATCATATGCATGGACTCCAATTATAGAATCTATTTCAGGACTCTGCATTATTTCATCAGAGTTTATCTCTACACCAACACTATATAGTTTTAATTAACATAGCTTTATTATAGATTGCAGTATTTGTTTTGGTGATCCAATCCTTATTATCTTCCTTTAAATTATGTTTGTTGTTTGTTTTTTTTAGCCTTCTACTCTTTCAAAAAATTCTTATGACCAGCTGACCAAGTCCATGAAAACCCTTTCTAGGGTTTGCTTGCTTGCTTTTACTACTTCTCAGTAGTTTGTTGAAGAAGTGTAGGATTTCACATGTAGCTAATCCTATAGCTGGCAAAATGGCAGATTTCTTTTCCTTAAATCCTTAACCTCTTTTCCTATTGCTGTTACATATTTTATCTCATGTATGTCCTCGTTAGGACCTCCCGTAGCTGCTGAATAGGGACAGCTATAGTGACCATTGTGGATTTGTTTCTAACTTTAAAGATAACACATTTACCATTTCACCATTCATTATGAGTTTCCTTCCTTCCTGCCTTCCTCCCTCCCTCCCTCCTCCTTCCTCCTTTCCTGTCCTTTCCTTTCCTTTCCTATCCTGTCCTCTTTTCCATTTTTTCTTTC